GAGGCGGTCGAGAATATCCTCGATTCTCGGGAGGGGATGGACATCAGAGCTAATTAGCTCGTTCACCTTTCTATAATCGATACAAAACCGTTTGGTCTTGTCGCGCTTAGTGACGAGGGTGACAGGGCTCGAGAAAGGTGAAAAAGATTGCTCTATAATGCCATTCTCTAGCATTTGTTGGACTTGATTACGGATTTCTTGTTGGTCACATATCGGAACACGATATGGACGTATGGTAATTAATTTTTCGGAATTCGTGGGTATTTTTACTGGTGGAATCCGTAAGCATGGTACGTTAAATTTGTTCTGTGTGAATATGTGAGTGTATCTTTGTAGAAGTGTTGTGAACTGCGGTGTAAAGCGAGTGTTAGGTGTTGTGTTGTAGTATGCATGTGGGAAAAGGTTTTGTTGTGTATCAATGGGAGTGTCGAGTTCGTTGTGTGGTTTTGTCATGTGATAGTTGTGTGACGACGTGTGATCACCTATGTGTTTGGTATGCGAGTTGTCCTGCTGTATTGACATGTTTTGGGCAGGTTTTTTTACAAGTTAAAGTCGTTGTGGCTTTGTTATTTGATGGCATATAAAAAAGGCAATTGGCCTTAGTGAAAAAAGGGCATGTAGGTAAGGGGGTGTTTTTCAATGAATGCACGCAATGGTGGTCATAGGCGGGAGGTTGGGATGCAGGGTAAATTCTGTGTGACATCGCCTGACATTGCCAGTAGGTGCATACATTTGGTACATTGTTAAAATGGTAGGATGGGGTAGACAATGGGGCGCCCAGCTGGAATATAGTGCATTTATTAAAGTCTATTGCTAATTTGAATTTGTGGAGGCTATTAATGCTAAGAATTCCAAATGGTAACGGTGCATTCACTACATGGAAATTCTCTCTTCGGGATATTTGTCCTATTGTCAGCGGGATAGACAGTTTACCCATGGTTTTTGCAAAACCGTTTAGGGTTTGGAGATCCAGTGAATGTCCCTTAAGGGTTAAATTAGTTAGGTGGGTTTTTAACATATGGTAAAGATTATATGGCACTATATTCAGGCTGGCGCCTGTATCAATTAAAAAGGGGCATGGTATATTAGGGGCTAGGAAAAGTTTGACAGTCAGTTGGGTTAGGGATCCTACCTCAGTCTCGAAAAGTCTGCTCTGCTGGGGTGTCTCTGGCTTGACTTGGTTGCTGGGGACTCGGGACTGTTTGCACTGTCCGAACGCCTTGGTATCTGTTTGGTGGGACTGATTGCACTGTCCGTTCTTTTTCGTGGGTCGCCGGGACTGGTCGATGCCGGCATTCGCTGTGCCAGTGCCTCGCGCCGCAGAACTTACAGTTGGACGGCGGAAGAGGTGCATTCCATGCACCTGGGCGTCGGGGTGTGCTGTGGTACGGACCTGACATTGTGGGCGGTTGGTCCTCTCGAGGTCGCGTTGTCGGTACACTGGGACCGTGGATCCGCTGCACCAGTCGGAACCACTCTCCTAGGTTCTCGGGAGGCACTACGCGGACCAGGCGCTGGTCGGAGAATGGCAACCCCTCTGTCAGCGTCTCGAGGATCACCTCCTGCGGGAGTCCTAGTTGCAGTCCCATGGCGGTTTTCTCCCGGTAGTAGGTTTCTAGGTTGGCTTGTCCAGTGAGTTTCATGGCGAAATATTTCGCAAAGGACGCTTCGCTTGACTCAGGATAGAGATCTAGGAGGATCTGTCTCACCTGGAAATAGCTCCGGTCGGCCAGCCGAAGTTTCCTGAAGAGCTCCAGGGGTTGTCGCGCCAGGTAGTTTGGTAGGCGGAGTAATTTTTCTTGTTCTCCCATGGAGGCGTCTTCCATTTTTCGGTCGAACGTTTGGAAAAACTGTGTCGCGTTGTATGTTCCATCGAAGATTGGTAGGTCCGCGCCCGGGGTGTCGTATCTGCCTCGGACTACCGCTGCTGCAATCTGACTGATGGCTGCCACCAGGGGTTCCGTCTCTCGGCCGGTCATTTCCTGTCCGTTTCCCTCTCTTACTTCTTGCCTTTCTCCCGTTGGTTGCGTCAGGTTGTCCGTTTTTACGCCTATTTGATCCTGGCCAGTCTCCATAATATCCTGTCGACTTAACCCTTCTGTCACAATATCGTTGCGGAATTTCTTGTAGTTGGATGAGAATGGTGAAGATTTTTGGAAACGCAGTCGTTTGAGTGGAAAGTTGAGCATACAGTGGGGAATAAACAGGACACGTGATGGTGTTTTGAAAATAAAAGGTAACGGGTTGGAGGAAAGAAAGGCTTTTGAGAAGATAGAGCGGATTTTCTATTAATTATCTGATCACATGGCGATGATTGGACTTAGCTATGGGATAAACGGGGAGGTCTCGAGAGCAGATGTTACCTCGGTGGGAGCGAGTGAACCACTGACAATCCTTGCTTCTCGATTTAACACGAAGACCTATCTCCTTTCCCATTGGAGGAAAGCTGAGACGTGGCCTTTTTCTATTGGTTGACCTTTTGGAAGCTGCTCCCTCATTGGTCCTTGCTCATTTCTTTGTCTTTTGGACTTGTTCTGACGCGACCAGGAAATACTGTGTCGTTGAACTCAACTTTTATTATTTCCGCGATCATAAAATCGGCTGTAATTTTGCTAATGGTGCTGCTGACTTCTAAGCCTATTTTCTAGGCCTCGTTTCTCTAAGGCGTTCTAACCTCCAGTTACCTTATTCTTTATTAAGTCTTTGAAACATACATTGAATACATATTGGGTCGGGGTTGCATACAGCTATTTACAAATTATGACATATACATTCGAGTAGATACGAACACGGATAAATCCCAGGCACCCAGAGTATATCCTCAAGGTAAATTTTTACAGTGAAGAAATTATTATAAGAAAAAAGGTAATTAACAATTGAATTAGAAACACTGAATATCTGCAATTAGAAATTATTAAAAGTCTATGAAACAAACGCACTAAAAACAAAGATATTCTGTGATAATGAATATACAAGGGTGGATCAATAAAAAGCAATAAAAGTTTAATAGAAAAAAAAGAAGGAAACAAATGTATATAGATAAACATATTTAAATTGAACTCTGTTGTTATATTTTTTTAAATTTAAAGAAACCATCTGCTAACATTTATTTTTCTGATAAAAATTGCGGTCAAAACAAACAGTTGTACCAAGTAAGAAATGCGAGAAATAATAAGTTTTATTTATCAGGGATGAGTTAACCATTTGAAATTTACTCTAGAATGAAGGCTGTGTTTACCCTTATAAATGTTTATCTCAAAATCGAATTTTCAAATGGGTTAGAATATTCAAAAGCGGCATAGAAAGTTTGGATGAAGAACCGCGACTTCGCGCCCCGGTCAAGGTAAGTGATGATCCACACATGGGCCATTGACGAGATGTATAACATAACGATCTAATGTTACATTAGCATTAGAGTTATTCTTCCGAACTTAACCTTAGTTATGGTAGTGTACAAAAATCATTACAAAACATTTAAAGTACAGAATATTTTGCACAAGATGGGTGCCTCGGCTGATCACAAAGGAAATAAAGGAAAAACGTCTAACGCTTGTAAAGAGCTTCGGGACGTTATGAAATTGAGGGTGAAGGTTTTATTGATAGAAGAGTGACTAGAGATGAATCATAGATACAACATCACATTCCTAACTAAAAGAGCAAGTACAGAATGGTATCACAATGGGTGCCCAACCCACAAAGGGTTCACCAACACTCTTGACTATTGTTTGGGACTGTAAAGGATACATCTTAGAAGATTATCCTCCTAAAGGCCGAAATAGTTAATAACATAGTTTATTCTGAGCTCCTTGAAAAATTTAAGCCAAAATTTCGTTCCAAAAGGCGTGGTTTCTGAGCGAAGGTGTTTGTCTACAGCATGATAATGCTTGGCCCCACGTGGCAAATCTATCCATTTCAACAATCAATAATATATATAGAGCTGGGATTGAGCAAAATCCAGGGGCAAAGGGAACTAAACAAACTACGTTAGAAACACGTTTAGATAAAGAAACTGAATTCCGGGAAGCGTTAACTGCACTGTCAAAAAATTTGACAAATGGGGTGAAAAGTTGGAAACACAATTGTCGCAAATTCGGGAAGAGGTCACGAAAACAAGCCAAAGATTACAGAACCTAGAAGAATCAATGCAGGGTACCACAAAAAAGTTATGCAAAATACTAAAGAAATAGCAGTACTGGAAAATCGTCTTGAATATATGGAGTCAAAAATCAGATAGGATAATTCAGTGTTTCATGCAATTCCAAAAGGAGGAGATGACTGTATGGCAGTAATAAGAAATGTCGTCGAAGAAAAGATGCAAATTAGCGCACAAATCAACATAACAAAATGCTACAATTTGTCAAGGCGGCCTAACGCTTCAATAATGGTTGAAATGCCCAACTATAATGATAGAATTACTGTATTCAAATCTGCATCTAAGACGCAACACATCAAGATATCTATTTCTTACGATTATAGTGTGAAGACAAGAGATCAGAGACGTGTTTTAAACACTAAAATAAAATAGCTTTTTGAGAGGTGAATAATGGCTAAGTTGAGAGATAATAAACTCATCCTCAACGGAGTTACGTATCGGATTTCTGAGGGGAAAATCATTGATGCAAATGGGGGTACATTGTAGCAACCAGAAAACGATAGAACTCATGTAATTAAACAAACAGAATCGAAGGATAAACCAACTAACAACAAAAAAGTGAATCTAAAGCGCGTACACAACAAAATATTAAAATCTTGAATTATAATATTAATGGATATAATAGAATGCTAACGACGTTTAAACATATTACCTTAAAAATACGAAATATTTGTATTAACGGAAACACGGTTCACTAAGGAAATTGATCTTATGATAGAAGTGTTGGGCTATTAGTTGAAGCTGGACTAGATGATATAATAATGGAAGGAAGTAGTCAATTATCCCACTACATCTGCCGATTGAAATGGATAGATTAGAAGCACGCGGAGGCGACGCGAACAACAGGCCTGCCTATGGTTACAGCTAATTGACCAAATGGGATGGCCTTCTAGCTCTACTACTGGACTGAAATGAATCAGACTGACCGCGACAAAGGGTGCAGGTAACCTGGGAAGAGGTAGCGCCATCGCAAAGTCCCTCGCGACAACATCCAGGGAATCACCAAGCCCGCCACTCGCCGTCCCGCACGCAGGGTCGGTGCGAAGCGCATCCCTGGTCCCATCCACGAGAAGACGCGCGGCGCTCCCAAGGCGCCCCTGGAGAATGTGATCTGTGCTAATGCTGCAAGAACACAGGTGAGTATCCCTGGGTCAGAGGGAAAGAGAGGAAGAGGATTCAAGTTAAGAAAAGAGAGCAATTGTGATAAACAGAGAAGAGGGAGCAAAAGAGAAAAAAAGTAATAATAATAATAATAATATAAAAATAATAATAATAAAATAAAAATAGTAGTATAATTGAATAAATAAAAATAAGAGATAAGTGAATTAGAATAAATAGGATGATAAGAAAAATAAAAAAAGAAGAAAAAAAATTGTAATAATAATAATAAATTTAAAAAAAAAGGAAAATAAAATAATTAAAAGAAAGAGAAAATATTTAGAAGAGCACAGGGTAAAAATAATAGGGATAAAAAAAAGCAAACACAGCGCCTGGGGATGTTGGTGTAGAAGAAACAAAAAAAAAGGACCTTATCAAAGGAATCAGAAAATTTTTCTTTTGAGGAGAAAGTAATTTCAGGGTATAAATTTTGAAAGTAATAAATCGCATCTTATGCCAACCAATGAAAATGAGCGGCCGTCAAACCACAAAACCCCCGGTTGTGACGTCCAGCGATTAATCGACCAATCAGCGTGCGGCGTCCAATTTCGCCCGCGGCCCTCTAACCCTTGGGTGATTAGAGACGGCGCTTGGTGAAATCCCGTCCGCAAGCCAACTGGCAAATTAAAAGTTTGACATCGCATACATAGTTCGTGATACACGCATATGCAAGTAACAACGCTGATGTAAGGTTTAGGTGGAATTAGAGTCGGAAACCTCCTCTGATTCCACCTCTCGGATCCGCGGCCTTAGCCTGTCGCAAGCCAGGAGAAAATCGATACAGGCTCGCCAGGTCAAACAATTGTAGGTGAAGTCGCGGAGCGCCCTCGGCGTGTAACCGAGTTCCCTCCCCGCTATAAATAGTAGACGAGTTCTGAGTGAGTCCAGACTGTCACACTCGAGCATGATATGCTCCAGAGTTTCTTCCTCTCCAGAGTCACAGAAAGGGCAGATTGGATCATCAATAAATCTAAGTCTGTGAGCAAAGCTGTCTGTCCACGTGTGTCCAGTCAGTAGGCCAATCACGGCGTGGACACTAAGGATGATGTACGCATGCTTTTTGTCCAAGAGACTCTTTGGAGAAAGACCAAAGCGGGTGAAGATTGTGCGCTTGGCGGAGATGAACCTGTCCTGCCAAGCTGCCCACGCCCGCTTGTAGATTGTCGATTTAAGTTTCGACAGCGGTGCGAGGCGATAGCAGCTCAGGAGATCAGATTCCGCCCCGCGTTTCGCGAGCACATCAGCAACCTCATTACCAAAAATCCCGCTGTGGCCTTTGATCCATTGTATGGTACATCTTTTCCCATTGCGGTTCAGTTGCGAAATCAGCCACAAAGCCCTGTTGACAAGGAGGTTGCCTGTTCTGGAGTTTAGAACGGATTTCACAACTGAGAGGTTATCCAGTAGAACTTCAATAGTATAAACGATAAGGAAGAGTATTATACAATCTATGGAGAAAGTTTTCAAGTAATTTTATTTTACTTCAATAGTATAATTATCGGGAAGCTTTGAGGCGTCCTCAAGTGCTTTAATCAAGCCAAGTGCCTCCGCTTGGAAGACAGAACAGTACGGGGACAGGACAAAACTCTCACGCAATTCATTCATGGAGCCATTCGCACACACTATATATAGGCCTGTGCCAACTCCAGTTTTCGTCTTGGAACTATCTGTGTAGTAGGTGACGTCAGCCGAAAGATCAGGAATATTAATGGGAGCGGAGTAATAGGGAGGATAGGGAAGTGGGTGAGAGCAGGGAGGAGGCTCGACTGGAAATTCAGCGTTAACAAAACTGTGCTTTTCAAAGTACAATTCCGCCTTTGCGTCGACATCCAGATCGAGAGGGAGAACGCGAGAAAGAGAGATGAGAGAGCTGTTGTCAGTTGTTTTAAACGCGCGGCATGTCCTGATGAGGAACGGGCGCTGCGCGCTTAAGAGAGTTTTTAACGAGCGTTGTTTAAGATTGGAAAACCACACCGGATAAGCGTGAGAAATGGCTGGAACCACAACCTGTAGATAGAGCATCCTCAGGACACGGAAACCAAAGCCAAAATTGGAGTTGGCAGCTGCTGTCAAACGCGGGAGAAAACCGCGGACTCTGGTGCAAACCTCTACCACATGCTGGTGGAAGGTGAGACGCTGATCAAACCTTACTCCCAGCACTTTGATTGAGTCGCTCCATTGAATGGGTTGACCATTAATGGTCAGATCGCAGCTAGGCTTTAGTTGTCTGCCAGAAGGTCTTAGAAGGAGCATGGCCTGACACTTCTTCACGCTAAGTTCCAGTTTATGCAGGCCACACCACCTCGTGATCTCATTAATGGCAAGTTGCGCCGCTCCAAGTGTCAAATTATATTGACAAATATTTGCAATCTTATCATATCTTATCTCAGGTTTTAGTGGAAAGAATTTGTGTTTTCGTTTGATTGTGAACAAATCTCTCCCGCCTTCTCATTGGACGAATGTGGCCATGTTTGTATATAAATGGGGCTATGGTATGAGTCGACGCCAGTGTGGTGGATGATCTTGTGGGGACACTTAAAGTGTTCTCTGCGTGCTATATCCCTGTCTGGCAATCTCGGCGCATACCTGTGTAACCCCGGTCCGATCCCTACCTAAGCAGCAATAAAGCTAAGTACTGTTTTTTATTTTATTTAACAAATTGTGGTTTATTATTTACTTTTTTTTGTGTTGTACTTTTGAGTCCACGATTTTTCTGTGTTTAAGTTACTCTTACTGTAGGCCCTAATATTGTATTTGTGTGTTAACCCGTACAAAGTAACTTTTGTCACAAGTTGATTTGCAACTTGGCCCGCCACCACCATAACAAGATCGTCGGCGTGGGCCTGCGGGTGAACACATTTTCTAAAGTTGAGCGTGAGAAGCTCGTCAAAGACAAGGTTCCAAGAAACGGCCCAAGGACTGAGCCCTGCGGGCAGCCCTTGGAGACCTGCCTCGTGACCGTGCAACCATTCATTGACAGTCTGACAACGATTATTGAGGAAGGAACTAATTAGAATAAACAGGTTCTTTGGACAATCATTCATACACAGAGCTCGCAATATGCTGGAGTGTAGCACATTGTCAAAAGCGCCTTTCACATCAAAGGAAAGAAGAATAGAGAATTTTCTATGCTGAAGCGACCGGGAGAGATTATTTTATAAATTTAGAAGTGCGGCGACAGTAGATTTGCAGGGCCTGAAACCGAACTGGTTTGGTTGGGCTTTACACATCCTCTCAGCTCGCCACGAGAGCCTGGCCAGGATAAGACGCTCTAGAATTTTACCTAAGCCTGGCAGCATCGTGATGGGCCGATGAGACGCGAGAAAGTCCTCACCACCTTTTTTGGGAATTAGTATTACATCACCCAGTTTCCAAGGGGTTGGAAAATGTCCAGTTTCAAAGCACCTATTAAAAATCTTTAAAAAGAACTTCGGAATTTTTTAAATTAATTTAACAATGACAAGAGGTGGCATACCATCACTGCCAGGAGCAGAAGTTAAGCGAACCTTATCCGCAGCCAGTAGCAGCTCTGCTTCTGAGAACGGTGGGTCGTTATCAGAGGTGGAATGCGCGGCTTTAGGCAAGTTAACATGCTCTACAGTTGTATCGGGCGGGACGCGGCCGAAGTAGTGCTTTAAAACGTGTTCTAGAGTGTCCCGCGGACTCTCAGTGAGATCATCGCCAACCAGGAGAGAGGAAAGAGGCTTCCTCTTGGTGGAACCTTTTATAAATTTGTAAACGCCGCCCCAGGGGCTAACCTCGCAAAGTGAACAGATTCTTTTCTATTCAGCAAGCTTCGCGTGTCTGATAGAGGTGCGAAATCTATTATATAATTTCTTATAAAATATCTTTAACACGCTTCTAACAGGCCCACGAGCTTTTCTCCACGCCCATTCAGCTTTTTGAGTAGCATTTAGGAGCGGATTTAGTTCAGGTTTCCACCAAATGGGTTTCTTAAAAAAAAAAAATGGTGAAAGGTTTAGAGGGAATGGTTTGGAGACACGAGTGAAACACCTCGTATTTTAGTCAATTAATAACTTCATCAATTTGAGTTGTGTCACTCGCGTCCAGTAAGGAGGAAATTCTAAAAAAAAAAATATTAAAGTTAGAAAAAAAAAAAATTCCCAGTCGGCGCGACCAAAGCTGAAGTGTACTTCGCTAAAGTTGTTTATGTGTATATCGTTATGGCTGTTAGAAGAGAGGGGTTCAAAATTAACGTTAAACACGAGGCTTTTATGGTCAGATAAAGCCTGGTTGATTGCATTCCAATCGGCGATCCTGTCCGCGAGGCCAGCAGAACAACACGTGACGTCGATGGAGGAGGACCTCTCGCCCTCCTCCCACGTGATCGTGCTGTGTTTGTTGACAACATGGAGCAGGTTAGCGCCAAGGAAGTTATCGACATTTTCTCTTTTGGAGCATTTGTATTTAAGCAACCGCGCTTTATTTGACCATCTATAGGATTCAATATTAAAGTCGCCGCAAAAAATCACCTCGTGGAAATTAATTGTTTTTAAAGAGTTGTCTATCCTATCAAGAAGAGCGTCGGAACAACATGATGGTGAAAGATAAACAGTACACAGAAGGATTGACAAGTCATTCACTTCACACAGGACAAATACAGCATTCACACAAGACAAGTGAGACAAGTGTATGAATTTTAAATTCGGATTTGCTATTATTACAGCCGCTCCCAATTTATTTTCGATTATTGGACCGTGACAAACCCTGTCAAGAGGCACAGATAGTGATGGTAAATTGTTTTTGGAAACTGGGAGTTCTTGCAACAATGGCACATCCGATTTTTCCTCGCGACATTCATTCAATAAGGAGTACAAACAATATGGAGAGCGTCTTACATTGGCTTGAACACACTTTAGAACGTTCATCGCACCAACAATTTATTGAAGTTATCCTGTGCCTCCCGCATGTGTTTACACGCCATGGAGTTGGCACTGTGTTTGTCACCACACCTGTGACATTTCAACACAGTTTTGTTTTCACAGGTTTCGGAAAGATGTGCACCAGCTCAGTGGCTACATTTAGCCGCCCTAGTGCACTTCTTTCCGTTGGTGTGGGTTCTGTGACTTAAACTGCCACAGACACCACATGGAAAGACTCGCTTTGCTCTAGCGAGTCTCAGCGAGAGGAAGTCAATCGTGATCCTACCACGCTCGAGCAAGGCAGTCTTCACTTCCTTATTTACTTCTACTATCGCGGTGGAGGGGGCACCCTCTTTCCTAATTAGTTTCACCATCCTGATGTCTTCTCTTTTGCTTGATAATTTCCGGATTTCAACAAACTTTGAGTGGTAATCGACAACCAAGATGGAACTGGTTCCACTCACCTCCATGAAATCTACAGCAATTTTTTCCCATGGAAATTCAGGGATTTCATGAGCTATTCTTGACTCCTCAGGATTCTTTCTTGAATATTCCTGACATGTTCTGCACTTTTCTACTTGTGTTATCATGCCTGGCCAGTAAAATGCTGATCTTGCTTTTTCTTTGGAAGCTGCTATGCCCTGGTGTGATGAATGAACAACCTGCAGGATTTCTTTTCGAAGAGTCGATGGCACCATGATGCAATTTCCTTTGTAAACAATTCCGTCACTCACAGGAATTTCATCTTGAAATTGCCAGTAGGGTTTTGCTTCATCACAGACCATAGTTTTATATTTCGGCCATCCATTCTTCGCATACTCTATTAGTTGTATCAAGGTGTGGTCCCCATGAGTTTCCTTTTGTAGTCTCTTTATTTTTTCATCTGTGGTAACCAGCAACATGTGCACTGATTCAGTTTGACCTTCTAAATAGCTTGTGTCCACCTCATCTTTTAATGGATCTCTAGACAGATGGTCAGCTATAAACATGTTTTTCCCTGGTGTAAACTTCAAAGATATTTGAAATCTCATGAGACGTAAGACCATTCTTTGCAGTCTTGGGGAAAGCTTTTCTAAAGGTTTCTTAACAATACTCAGGAGAGGTTTGTGGTCAGTTTCCACAATAACATCATTTCCCCAAATATAGTACTGGAAGCGTTCACATCCAAAGACTATAGCCAAAAGTTCTTTCTCTATCTGTGCGTATTTTCTTTGAGTTGCATTCAGGCTGAAGGACGCATACTCAATTGCTTGTCCCCCTTGCATGAGCACTGTACCAATACCATATTGGCTTGCATCAGATGAAATGGTGATTGGCTTGGTTGGGTCAAAAAATGTCAATATTGGAGAATTCGAAACCATATTCTTGAGTTTTTCAAAACAATCATTTTCTTCGCCTCCAAATTTTTTATTCACTCTTGTTGCTTATCAATTTCCTTAGAGGTGCAGTCTTGTCAGACAGATTAGGAATAAATTTGCCAAGGTACGTTACCATACCTAAGAATCTTTGGACTTCAGTCTTGTTCTCAGGTCTTTTCAACTTTTGTATTGCCTCTGCTCTTGAAGCTTGAATGGCTATTCCATCTCGACTGATTATATGGCCTAAGAAATTTACTTTGTCGACAGCTATCTGCTGCTTCTTAGCATTGAGCTTGACATTATTTTCTTCCAACCTTCGAAGAACTGTTTCAAGGTTTCGGTTGTGCTCTTCCATTGTGTTTCCATAGATCAAGATGTCATCCATATAGCAAGCAGTTCCCTGGAGACCTGAAAGGATATTGTTTATGCATCGCTGGAATACCTCCGATGCACTGTTCAATCCATAGGGAAGTCGCTTGAACCGGAATCTTCCAAAGGGAGTCGCAATGGTGCACAGGTTGGTGCTTTCTTTGTCTAATGGGACTTGCCAGAAAGCTGATGATGCATCAAATACAGAGAAAACTGTAGCACCTTTCAGTTCAGAAAATATTGTTTCAGCTGTTGGCAGAATATAGCGCTCTCTCTGAACATATTTGTTCAGTTCCCTGGGGTCCATGCAAATTCTGACATCTCCAGAAGGTTTTTGTACCACTACAATAGGGTGTGTCCATTCGCTTGGTTCTTCAACTTTTTCAATAATGTCAAGTTTTTCCATCCGTTCCAATTCTGCTTTAACTTTTTCTCTAATGGAAAAAGGAATTTTTCTGCTTGGAGCAATAACTGGAGTTGTATTTTCATTTAGTCTAATCTTGTGTTCAATTGGCAGTCTTCCTATGCCTTCAAATATATTTTTGTGCCTGTTCAAAATTTCCTTTGCTGAATTGTTCTGCTCTGTTTGGACAGCATCACATTTCTTAATTAGTGAAAGCTTTTCAATAGCTTCTTTTCCTAAAATTGGTTGATAGTATCCATCAGCAATGAAAAATTCTAGACTTTCCGTCTTATTTTTAGTTTTGCAATTTAGTGTGGCAATTCCTTTTATCTTGATTTCATGTCCTGTATATGATATTAGCTTTCGGTTAGTCTGAAATATTTCCAAACCTTTCATTTGTCTGGTGAATGTGTATGGCAAAACATTTACTTCTGCTCCAGAGTCCAACTTGAAACATATTTCCTTTCCATTCACTATGATGGATTTTTTCCATTCCAAAGTATGGACTACTTTTGCTTCATGTATTGACCATACAGTTTCTTCTGTTTCATCATTCAGACTTCTGATAGCTGAACTTTTACAGAAAGCTGCAAAATGATTCATCTTTTTGCATTTGGAGCATCTTTTACCCCATGCAGGACAATTTTTTGCTCTGTGAGACTTTCCACACCTTTGGCATTTGAATTCTTTTTCAGATTCTTGATTTTGTTTTGGACTGTGTTTCTTTTCATATTTTCTTATTTGACAAATGTTCTGGTTGTTCTGCATGATCTTGATCTGTTGCTTGCTTATTTCATCTGTTTTGCACATTTCAATGGCTTTTAGAAGAGTTAAATTGGGCTCTCTTAAGAGGCGTTCCTGCAAAGCCTTGTCTTGTATTCCATACACAATGCGATCCCTAATTAAACTATCCTTTTGTGATTCAAATTCACATGATGTGGATAATCCTTTTAGTTCTGTTATAAAACTATCGATGGATTCACCATCCTTCTGGGTCGCTGAAAAAAATTTGAATCTTTCAAAAATGACGTTCTTTTTAGGCTCGCAAAAATCATCAAATTTGTTTATTACAAGATCGAAATTTTCTGCTTCATCTTCTTTTAAATGAAATGTGTTGAAAACTTCCAAGGCTTCTTCGCCAATAAAATTTAATAAAATGGCAACTTTCAGTTTATCAGGCTTTGTGGCTTTTTCTGTTGCTTCAAGATAAAGCATTAATCGCTGTTTGAACCTTCGCCAATTTTCCGCTACATTTCCGTGCAGGGCGAGTTCGCTAGGCCTAACAAAGTCCATGTTTTCTTTTTTTCACTAATATTTGTCAATAATATATTTATTTGAAAAAGTACTCACTTTTCCGCTGCCACCATGTTGTTTATGTTGTTCTTGTGTCTATTTGATCACGCAGAATGCAACTGAACTAAGTATTTATTTATTAACATCTATTTATTATAACATGGTTATATATCTAAGAGTGTTTGCCAGTCGAGTCGGCAGTGTTGCCGGATCAATCATAACACTATCCTCAATATTTCTTTAGTGGTCTGGGCGAAAGAAATGTACTCAGACTCCATGGTAGATAATGACACGCAATTTTGCTTTTTAGATCTCCATGACACTAAACAACCGTTAATAGTAACAGCTGACCCGCTGGTTGATCGTCTATCATCTATGTCATTAGCCCAATCTGAGTCGCTAAATGCTAGTATATCATCAGACCCTCTTTTATAGATGAGTGAAACATTCTTAGTAGCTTGAAGATATCTTAGTATATGTTTAGCAGCTTGTCAGTGTCGTTCGCCTGGGTAACTACAGAATTGTGCTAATTTGGTTACGGCAAACGTCATATCAGGCCTCGATGAGTTTGCAAGATATAGCAGAGACCCTATAAGTTCTCTGTAAGGGACGTGTTTCATCTCATCCTTTTCCTTGTCAGTTGTTGGACAGTCTTTCTTTGTAATCGGGATGGAGTTATCTAATGGAGTAGAAACGCCCCTACATTCCATCATATTAAATCGTTCGAGGATCGGCATGGTGTATTTTCCTTGTGAGAGGATTATTGTGTTTTCATCTGGATAACTTATTTCTACACCTAAGAAATATTTGATGGGTCCCAAGTTTTTATCTTAAATTTTTCTCTAATCTTTTCCTCAATATTTGTCAGAATGTCCTCGCTTTCCGCGAACAAAGATAGATCGTCGACATATACGGCGATGACCGCCTTATCTTCAAAAGTGTATAAGCATTTACAAGCGGCTAAACGACGAAATCCAATATCTTCAAGAGTTTTATCCAGTGTGCAGTACCATTCGAGGCCGGACTGACGTAAACCATATATTGGACGGTTTAGCTAAAGAACTTTGCCCTCACATTTCTCGTCGTTAGATCCATCTGGTGGGCTCATGTAGATCTCTTCATTCAGTTCGCTGTACAGATATGCATTGTCGACGTCGAGCTTTCAACTGTACCAATTTTTATTTATCGTCAATGCAAAGATCATTCTGATGACCGAAAAATTTATTACTGGCGAAAATGTCTCAAAAAAGTCATCGTTTCGTTTTTGAGAAAAACCTCTCGCAACTAATCGTGCTTTAAATCTTTTAACGTCCCCTTTTGAGTTAGTCTTTATTTTAAATACCCATCTACTGCTAATTGGGCGCTTGCCAAGTGGTAGGTCGGACAACGTCCACGTATTTCTATCCTCAAGACTTCTCAATTCATCCTTCATGGCCCTTCTCCAGTACGGTGCCTCTTTGCTGTTTATGGCTTGTTCGAAAGTTGTGGGTTCGATGATATCTAGGAAATGCAGTTCTACCTTTGGCTTTCCAGCACGCCCATAAGGGTTTCGTACAATTCTTTTAGGCCTAGTTTTAAGAATGTCGTCGTTGTTTACCCCCACCTAATCCTGATCACTCGTATCATCATTACGTTCTTTTCGCTTCAGGTTTTAGATATATATCTCCTTCAAGCTGGTTATCGGGTTCTATTCAAATATGGTTGTATCTTTCAGGTTCATCCTCAACCTTAATCCACTTCAGTCCTAACTTGGATTCGTCAAATTTGACATGCTTCGTCTGGATTACGTGTTGAGTTTCCGGACACCAAAGACGATAGCCTTTAGTCTGGGAAGAATAACCAACAAAGAATGCACCTATTTGCTCGATTGTCCAGTTTCTTTCGCCTTTCTGTGGGGATATGGCTATATGCTAAGCACCCGAAAGCTTTTAAGTGGCGAACACTCGGTTTTCTTGATGACCAAAGTTCATCGGGTACTTTATATCCTAGGGCTAGTGTGTGTCTATTTCATCTCACCCTTCCCTAAATGCCGTGTTGGAATTTATAGGTATTAAAGGAGAAGGAGGAGAAGGAGTGACCCAGGGAGACTCACCATTTTGGAGAGTTGGGGCAGAAGAAGAAGCGGAGGTATCCGCCACGTTCATGGTAAAGAATATCCAAGAGTAATCCAAGTGTAGGTGTGCACAGGTCGATGCCAGGGACCTGAATGATGGATGATGGATGCGCGAACAACAGACAAGTGTTAAGCTCCTTTTATTTAGACTAATGGGGGAGGGAGGGTGGACTGCCCGCTGGGCAGCTCGGTGATTGGCTGGCCGGAACGTAGTGGTGACGTAGGTCCTCCCCGGCGGAAGTAGGCTGATCCAACGTCTTCAAGAAGGTTACCAGATAATTCAAACACAAGCATCCAAGATAGAATTTAGGGGAAGGGGCTCCGGAGGAATACTTATGGGCATAACAAATGACATATATCAAAATACAATAAAATAGATTGCAACCCTTTCTGGATATCTAAAATGTCGAAAGATTGTTGAATGAAACTAATATAAATTTTGCCTAATTACTGTATATTTACCTCCGAGCTCTACTCATGAGCAAAATATGAATAAACTATTGGACCACATAAATTATCAGTTAAACGAAGGTAACGACGGTTTATCAACTGGAGATTTAAACATAAGAACAGGTAATATGGAAAACTTGCAGAATCCCAAACAATTATACACACCGCTAAAAACTATAGACAATCCAAACACGCCATATATCTCTCTCTCTCTCTCTACCCCCAATTTATCTAATAGACTCATTTATTTTATTGCGTATGATATTGTTTTTTACAGCACAATACAACAATGTTTGCAAGTTTCTCTAGAGTGGAATGTCGAGGTGACGAATCCACTCCAGGGCCTCCTCTGTGCACCGGTGGATATCCCCAAGTGTTCCCTGGAAGAATCTTCGAGGACAGTCCCTTAGGATATGGTGCATAATAGACTCATCACATTTATAGAAGATAACTCAATAACGATAGCAAACGGAAGCAAGGTCTAATGGAG